TTTAATGATGTAAACGTAAAGCCTTTGCAGTACAGTCGCGTTTCTTTGCTCGATATCGTGTGTTTCGTGTGGACGTGTGGTGTTAATAATATTATTTTAAGTTTAAAATGGAAAAGTGGTTGAAAGAAAATTTAAAATCAGATACTTCTACTTCAACTAGTAACATAAGATTTCCAGAAACAGATAATTCTAGTTCAACAACCAGCAAAAGAAAAAATGAATTTTTACCAGCAAACAATAAAAAAAAAAACGCAAGTACAATTCAGAATAATATATATAAAATTTGGTTTAATTGCATCATGCGTAAATAAGGAAGAACGACCGATGTGTGTCATATGTTCAAATACACTCTCAAACGATTGCATGAGACCTGGAAAATTAAGTAGACATTTAATTACTATGCACCCCGAACACCAAAATAAAACGTATTATTTTTTTGAAAGAAAAGCATCAGAACAAAGTCGGCAAGTAGTTATTTTTGATAAACATACTAATTTAAATAAAACACTTCTTAAAGCTTCTTTTGAAATGACTTTACTAATTGCTAAAGCTAAAAAAAGTTTTACTATTGGAGAAAACTTGGTTTTACCTGCAGCAATAAAAATATGTGAAATTGTACACGGTGATAAAATTGCAGATGCATTACGGTCCATCCTTGTTTCTAATGATACTATTAAAAGAAGACTAGACTGTATGGGGGATTATATGAAATCTCAATTATTAATTCAAATTAAAAATAGTTACACTTTTGCAATACAACTCGATGAATCGACAGATCTTACAAATAATGCCCAGTTAATGGTATTTGTGAGATATCAATATAATCTAGAAATAAATGAATTTATACATCTATACATTTTAATAATTTATTTGTGTGAAATTGTGAAATTTGTCCATGTAAGTATAGTATATTAGTATATCATTGAAAAAAATAATACTGATGATCTTTTTTTATTTATTTTTTGCTTTTACATCCATGGAAGGGAGCCTTGACAGTTTTACATTAAATTTAGGGGGCCCTATAACAAAAAAGGTTGAGAAGCACTGACTTAAGTGACCGATACGTATGTCTGTGAAAGTAGATAATTTGGGCAAAAAAATTTACTCAAATATAAAAATATTTCAATCTAGAAACTTATCAGTTGTAACAATCATAAAAGAGCGCTTCTATACATGCATTTCTTTCTTTTTTTTTACATTTAGTCACATTGTGCACATAATAAGTGCATGATAAATAAACATGACGTGGTTCATGGCGTGCAATTCAGATAGAACCTCCAAGAGACGACATTCAATTCGGACAGACCCCTCCAAAAGACGGCATGCAATTCGGACATTTTTTTTTTTTGCATGCATGCAATTCGGATGCAGCCATGAAACCGTTCAAGCATATAAAACGTGCTAGTTATCTATTTTTCAGGACTGATTTAAGGAAGAACACATTGATTAGTACAAATCTTATGTAGGCGTAAAATATCAGAAACTGTTATTTAAATTATAACTTACCCAGATAACTTGTATTAAATATCCCAATTTCCATCCATCTAGAAGTTCTTTCAGTTTATTTTTTTCTTCAAATGAAACAACAGCTTTTTTGTTTTCCAAAACACATTCTTCTTGATTTGTATCATCAACCAAATTATTCAAAGGTATATGTATATCATGTTGAATATCAAAAGAATTTGAGTTTTGAAGTTCGGTATACTGTGTATCCGTGTCATTATAAATATCCATACTATCACTCAAAAACGTTTCAAATAAATTATGTCCACTATTCATTTCAAACTATTAATAAATACATATACAATTTTTTGTTAGTATAAATGTATTATTATTGTACAACAAATTGTTACACTATATTAATTAAGGGTATATTATTAAAGCTAAACCTATACATACTATATACAATATTATTTAATACACAAAAAAAAAAGAATGATGTAAACTAATATTTATATACAATTTGAATTGTGAAATTTGGTTAAATTACACACTAAGATGGTATTGTTTAGTAGTATTCTTTAAGTCTAATCATTAATTTCCCATTAGGAATTTGATGAATATTAATTGGTGGACCACTGAACTGTTCAATATTTATTAGACTTTTAGCAATTATAGACTTTTTACTATCAACTTCATATGCTTTAAAGTGTAAATTATAAGATACTAATTGAATTTGATGCACAGTAAATAATACTACATTATTTTGTAAAACAATTATTTCAAGGATTTCATACAAACAGACTTCATTTATAAAATTAGTAACATAATTACCTATTTTATAATCTGTGCCCTTAAAATTAATCTTTGAGTAACTGTTAAAAAAATTAGATGGTATATTGAGAGTATTAAAAACAAATTCATTGTGTTTAGAACTTATAATATTTTTCATAGCTACAGCGACTATTTGATTAGATTCATCATTTAATAAAAAGTGTGCAAATTTAAACTGATATTTTTTGGCTAATGACAAACAGATATTTTTTCGAGAGGTTATTGCTCTAGCATACATTTTAAACTCTTTATGCTTAGCCTCGTAACGATAACACCAAAAATGTCTTGGAGGACCGGATTTTAAGGATTATAGATGGATAATGTGTCAACAAATGATGCTTGGGCTTCAAGCTATCATGAAAAAATGTGATATAATTTGAGTTATGTTTATTAATTAAACTTTAAATGAGGAATAGAACCTTGCTTCAGTTTATAAATTAGTAAAATTTCAATTATCTCAAGAAAAGTGAGAAAAAAGTTCCAAACTTCATCATCTTCAGGTACCAAATCGCCTATCATCAATGAAAAAAAATTAACAAAACACATCATTTGTCTTGCTGACATTTTTAAATGAATTTTTTTTAAATGATGTGTTTCAATGGAAGGAGAAGAATTTTTTTGCTCTAAGGCATATGAAAAATTTTGTTTTCTGAAGTTTATAGTTTCTAACGACATTATTTTAACTTTTTCAGTATAGTAAATAATTAAATGACACATGTTGTAGTGAGAAATTCTTTCAAATATATCATGCATTACATCTACACAATAATTACTTGTAACATGATATGAATTGATCTGATTCAAAATACTTAATTTATTAACACCGGTTTGTGAAAAATMATTTTTTTCTACATCATCTGTGTAATTGTGAATATTACGTAGTAAAGTTTGGTCCTCTTCAGTTAAATAATGTGATACATTTTTATGTACTTTACAAAATCTACAAAAATAGTTAGCAGAGAAAGATTTACTGAAATCACAAATACAGTTGAGTCCCAGATTATCACCAGTTATTAAACCAAGAATAAAATAAATTAGTTTTGGTCCATCAGAAGTATTGATTATAAGCCCATCTTCTGCCAAAGAATTTATATCTTCAATCAATTTTTTAAAACATAAATCATTTCCAAATGATTTCAAGTCCTTAGATTTTAAGAGAGCAGCAAGAAAAATATGTGTAAGTTTTKAACTTTGTTCAATTAATGGAAAACTATAATAAACTGCTGAAATAGAATTTCACATGGATTTAGATCCTAGTGGATTATTTATTTCATAATCATCAATATATATGAAAAATGGCATCACTAATTTATTTTGAAAAGAAAGTATTTTTTCTTTCCATAAGGATCTTTGAACAAAGTTGGACAGATTATAATTTTCATTAGAGACTGAAGAATTAATTAAATTATCATAACGTTTAAGTGCAAAATCAAGATTGTTATTTTGTTCAAAGTATTTTTTAATTTGGAATTTCAATGGCATCGAAATCCCTTTAATACTTAGTTCATCATACATTGTTTCACCATTATGACTTACTAATTGTATTTCATTGTTAATTGTAACTTGTTGCAATTTGTCACTTAAGTMGTTTGTAGCTAACCAATTATTTAAGACATGTTCAGTTTTACAATATTTAAAGGGATCTGAAATCGATGAAATAACTGTAGAAAATTTTGATAAAATCAATGGGTCTTTAATTTAATTTTTAATCATATTTTTCAATAAGAAAGTAATGGGTTTTATGAGTTTTACTTCTATATCATCTTTAATGTTAAGCACATCACTTCTACAAAAGTTGTTATTATTATGCAAGTTAAGACAGAATTGTATAGCTAACCTATGAAACTGTTTAATACTTTCATTAAAATCAAATACATTTTCACTAGGTATTTGAGGTGTTTGATCAAATGTATTGTTAACTATATATAAATCATGTGTATTGACATTATCATTTAAATGAGAATTTAACTCTGAATTACTACATTATAATATTTCATTATTTTCTAATGTATCAATGTGTTTAATTAGAACATGTTTTTTAAAACTACTTAATGTTTGAAATGATTGAGAACAATTATTTTCTTTACAAGTATAAGTGCTGTACGGACCAAGGATATGTATTATTTTATAATGAACGACAAGAGATGCTAATGTGGGCAGTGGCGTAGCCAGCGGGTAGGCCTGGTAGGCCCGGGCCTACCCACTTTTTTCCAAAAAAAAAATTTTTATCCTATTAAATATGTAGTATATATGACTATAATAATATAATATGTATTTAAAAATTAAAATAATAGAATTAATATATCGTAAATACGGTTTTAATTAACGAAATTAAATCCTGATAGTTTTTAATCGGTTCTTAAAATCAGTTAAATAATGACACGTCTTTTATTTTGAGTGTTATGGTTTAATAACCGACCAATTCCTGTTAATCGGCATCCGTCGAAATGTATAGTGTATAATATAATATTATAGCCCGACAGCCCGTATTTGCCCGTTACCTACAATATGATAGATATTAATCTTATCCATTCAATTGACGATTATTTCCAAAAATAACGAGACGGTAATATAAGTTTTTGTCGGATAGATATGCTTGCGATTGTCGATTAGTTTARTACTAATCGCACTGCTTCACTGCGAACGCCTTTAGTACAACGTAGTGACTAGTGATTATATTTCGSTTTTATTTTTACKTAGTCCGTCGCGTTGCTCATTTTCGAAAAATGGAACGTTTTTTAATCACATCAGGTAATTCAAAATCAACTGCTGTTTCAACTGTTTCGGAACCTAATGACCCTGGATCAAGTGCGCGTACTCCAATATCAGATACAGATATACAGTTGAATTCAAACATTTTTGATATTAGTGTAACTTGTGAGGATACCGCTGTACAACCTGTCATCAGTTTTCCTCGTACTCTAATATCTGGGAAGCAACGTAGCTTTCAAAGCAGTTGGTACAATAAGTATCCATGGTTGGAATACTCAATTAAGATGAATGCCGTATTTTGTTATTATTGTCGTCATTTTCCTTCTTATTCGCAAATTGAAAAAGATGTTCTAATTACTGGTGGATATTCTGATTGGAAAAATATAAGTAACATGACTAAAAAACATGATAATACTACTTCACATAAAAATGCAATTGCTAAATATGGCGCATGGCTATCAACCAAAAAAAATGGATCAGTTTCGACTCAAATAAATAAACAAGTCAAGGAGCAAGTTATAAAAAATCGAGCTATTTTAACAAGTGTAATAAGGTGTGTTTTATAYTGTGCACGGCAAGATATTGGACTACGAGAACATTTAAGAGAAAGAAAAGAAGAATTCAATAGTGAAAATTATGATGCAAGTTTGTGTTCACGTCATGACGTAAATGAAGGTAACTTTTTAGAAATTATAAAATTACTTTCCATCGAAAATGAACATTTTAAACCAAATTTTAATTTATTACCTAAAAATAGCAAATACATATCGCCTGAAATACAAAATGATATAATAAAAGCTACTTCAAAGCTTGTATTACAATTAATAGTAAATGAAGTTCATATTGGGAGCCAGATATTTAGTTTAATTGTAGATGAGGCTAGAGATCAGTCAAAAATTGAACAAATGAGTATTTGTATTAGATATTTGTACGATTTAAAAATTAAAGAAAGATTTTTAGGTTTTGTCGAATTGAAAGATTTAAATGCTCAAGCACTGTGTGATGGCATAATATTTTTTTTTAAATAATGTTGGTTTAGATGTTTCAAATTGTGTAAGTCAATCATATGATGGTGCGTCAGTAATGTCCGGAGCTTTTTCTAGTGTTCAAACAAAAATAAGGGAATTAGCACAAAATCCATGTCCGTATATTCATTGTCRTGCTCATAGGTTAAACCTAGTTCTAGTTGATGTAACGAAAAATATTCAAGAAGTAGATGAAATACTTGGTTTATTAGAAGCTATTTATGCATTCCAATCGGTATCTACAATTCACCATCATGCTTTTTTACATGAAACTAAGTATAAAGTACCACAACATTGTGAAATAAGGTGGGTTTCAAAACACAAGGGTATTACATTTTTTAAAAATCATTTTACTGATATTTTAAAAGTTCTTAATGCATTTAGAGAAAGTACTAAACAACAAGAAGCTGCAGAGGCAAAGGGGTTGGCCATACAGTTTGCTAAGTTTGAAGTTAT